TCTTTAGGGTATATTCCCAGTAGTGGAATTGCTGGGTCAAATGGTATCTTTATTTGCAACTTTTTGAGAAAGCGCCACAATGCTTTCCACAGTGGTTGTACCATTTTACACTCCCACCAACAGTGAATCAGGTAGAACTGGGAAATTCTTTAAGTGTATTCACCAATGCTTTTGAAAGCCATGCTTTTAAAATTGTTTAAAGGCTGTTTTAATGGTTGTGATCTATTTTATAATATAAAAATAGAAAATAGTTTAAAGTTACTATTGCAGGAAATTTCTTTTAAAAGGTAGTACTTTGTGATATATAAATAGCTTCACATTGAGTGTAGTAATTGGGTGATTGTAATTTATTTTCTGACATTTCTGTTTTAAGATAATGCTAAATATCAGCCGAAAAGTAAAAAAAAAAAAATAAACCAAAAAAAACACCCCCAAACAAACAAACAAAAAAAACCCCACCAAACATTTAATGTACCATATTGGAAACAAGTACAAAACTCAAACAAATAAAAACTCACTTTTCCTTCTGTATGTTGTTTTGGGTTTCTCATTAAGGAAAGAAAATTAGGTAATCAGTTAACAGCACTGTAATCATATATCAGATTGTTGGCTTTTTAGCATTATAGATGATCAAACATTATAATCAGGATTCAAATGGGAAAACAAATCTAAAGGCATAAACATGATTTTGCTTGTATTCAAAAATTGTTTAAAATGCACATATTCATTTATATCTTGAGTTTCTTTTTAAATACTTTATGACTCACAACTTACACAGGCACTAAGTAAACAAAAGGTAACATGAAAGTGTACACAGAAGGAAGAAAAATCAAGTATTTGAGTAAAGATAATTCTAATTAATCAAATGAGATCTTAAGAAATTTGCAACTTGAGGTTTAAATCTGACATAAAAATAATCTTTTATTAAGTTACATTTTTGGAGAAGCTTTCAGTTAATATATTGTTGTTAGGTGCCATTGAGTCGAGTACGACTCATAGTATACTTATGAACAAAAGATCTCAGACCAGTCCTATTCTGTGCCATCCTCACACATCCTGACACTCAAGGGCCCCATTGCAGCAGTCACCATGTCAATCCACCTGGCTGAGGGTCTTCCTCTCTGCTGATCCTCTAACCTTCTCAACATCATGTCCCTCTCCAAGAGATAGCATCTCCTAGTAATATGTCAAAAGTGTGTGAGGCAAAGCCTCCTCATTCTTATCACCAAAGAGTACTTTGGCTGCACCCTCTTCAAGACATATCTTTTCGTATTCTTGGCCATCCATGGAATGTTCAGTGCTCTTCTTCTTCAACACCACAGTTCAAAGCCATCTATTCTTTTTCTGTCATCTTTATTCATTGCCCATGTGTAAGATGCATAACTAGTAATTGGAAAGACCATGGCCTGAATCAGAAGCAACTTAGTCTTCAAATTGACAGCACTACTTCTCAATAATTTAGAAAGGTCCCTAACAGCAGATTTTCCCATTTCAATGTCTCCTTATTTCCTGACTGTTCATACTAATCTGAAAATGTATTTTTAAACCTTTATTTGTATATTACAGGCAGTAAACACAGACCCTGTTCCAGTTAAGTTGCATTACGATAAATCACATGACCAAGTCTGGGTACTTAGCTGGGGAACTATGGAAAAGACGTCACCGACACTACAGGTATGTCCATGTGATCGTATGTATAGAAAGAAAGATCTCTAAAATGTCAAGGACATATTGAAAATCTATATTAAATATGGGGAGGTTTTTGTTGTTGTTTTAATTTTTATTTCCAAAACCAGAGGGGAGGATAGAACCGGTGGGATTACAACTATATTAAGAGCTACAATTTTGCCTCAAAGCAGATCCCGTTTTCCCCAAAGTAATATTCTATTATTTGATCCCTCTTTGCTGTCATTTTTATGGAATACATTCCTTGTTTGAAGTTGAATTTGGGTGGCAAAGGAAAAAAATCGTGAATTTTAACAATAACTCCTTGTCATATTCACAATTTTTTTTGGAGAAAAATTAGAAAGAAATGATGAAAGGAATAATAAAGGTTTATCTCTGCAAGTTTAGTTTTTTAGTTTTTGCTATTGCCTAAGCTTACATTTCCTAGTTGCTACGATAACCTCGTGATTTTAGTTCACCTTTGTCTATAATTCACTTGTTTGTGTCATCAAGTTGCAACAAACTCACTGACCCTTCAATGGTTTTTCAATGGTTATATACTGAGTGGGAAGAGATTGCCCATTTTTATTCCAAAGAGCAGATAGTGGATTTTAACCACACACCTATAAATTGACAGCAAAACTCCTTAATGTTGGGCCACCACACCCTTAATTATTAACTATTTTTTCCATTTTCAATAAAATCAGTTGAAACCATTTTTTGGTTTCTTTTTATTAGATTGTTTTTAGTTTATTTTCAATATAAGAAATATTTCTGAAGTAATTTCAGCATTAAGATATTTAACTTATAATTGATATGCTAAAAGAGAGAAATGAAATATTTGAAGAGTTATAAAAATAATGGCTTATTTAATATTTTACTTGAAATATGTATCATCTGAAATATAATATGACTGGTATTTAAGTTGTTGTTAGTATTGTAAATGCAACAACTGTAAAACTTGATTTTCTAAGAATAAAAAAAACAAAACAATAACAAACTCATAAATCTATAACACGACTTCATGTTATTTTGTTTTAGTCTTATCTAGGATCACTCATATAACTGGGACATAAGCCCACTGAAACTAAAGGGCTCAAAATGACCTCCCTCTTATGTTTGAAAAATGGTATCTGGGGCATGCTGACATTTGGGTTTCCTGAATGTGATTGCTTAAAGTCTAGGCTAACATCTTCACAGGATGGTGACTTCCGGTTTCAGGATATTGAAAGTGGAGTTTCCAAGAAATAGTAAGTTTTCTGCTGCAGAACTGATATAAGATTAACTGTGCTACAACTTGGTCCTCAAGCCAGTCACACATATAAGTTGATATTCCAGGTGGTAGAGTAATGAATTCAATTATTTGATGAGAGAGGCAGAATCATCACATTGTTGGCAATTTATAAAATGGTCTATATAATATGATAATTTGATATTTTGCATATAAAGCACAATCTTAGTGAGGTACAAGTTCAAAGTGAAACTAAAGAAAATTAAAACAAAGAACCAATTATTATTTGGAGTATATCCCACCTGAACTTAAAAATCATCTCAAGAACAGATTTGAGGCCTCGAAGACTAATGAACACCAGATGAACTGAGGGATGATATAAAGAATATCATCCATTAGGATTGCAAACAATTATTACTAAGAGAGAAAACGAAGAAAAGACTGTTATGGATGTAAGAAGTGACTGAATATTGCATTAGAATGCTGAAATGCAAAAGGAAGAAATCAGGAAGTTAATGGAAATTTGAACAGAAGATTTCAAAGACCTGGTGTCACAAAATCAAAAGGGACAAACTCACTTGATATTTCTTGAACTGAAGGAAAAAAAGAACAAATTCAAGACTTGAGTTGCAATAATTAAGAATTCTATGGGTGGCCTTAGTGACAAAGAAGCTGCATTGCAATCCTCAAGGCAAGAGGTTTCAGGCCGCCAGCTGCTCTGCAGAAGGATGGGCAATCTCCTCCCATAAGATTAACCACCTCTGAAAACCTGCAAGAGTATCAGATATGGGTTGGTTCTGGCTCAATGGAAAACAAGGGAACAGTGCATGTTTCAAAATCAGGAAAGGAGTGCATGATGGCTGTGTCTTGTCTCCATATTATATAAATATAAAATGTATTTAAAAGTTGGTTGGGGCCAAGGGTCTAGTGTTATTTTATTTTGGAGGAACATTCTTCTAAGTTGTACAACACTCCTCTGTCAATTTGCTACACTGAGGTAATATGGGCTTGTTGAGTCAGCCAATACATAATTCAGTTATTCTATTTCCAGCCTCTTTTCTATCACCAAGACCATACTTTCTGACTAATATGCCTTCTTCATTGTTTCCAACTTTTACATTCCAATCACCAATTATCATCAACATATCTTGACTGCATGTTTTGTCAATTTAAGACTGCAAGATTTATTAAGTCGTCACGCTTCATGACATGCTTAGTTGTTGTTCAGCTCTTTGATGCATATCAAGTAATTGACAAGGCTTTGGGTTGCATCAGGTACACCTTAATCTCTATACTGTTACTGATTCTTAGTACTCTAAAGAGGTCATTAACAGCTAGCTTTCCCAAATCACATTGTCTTTTGATTTTGTGACTGCTCACACAGAGTCAGTGTACCAAAAAGAATTGGCTGACACAAAAGAATTTCAAGAAGCAACATATTATCATGAGCCAGTGGTGCTGAAGGAGGAAAGTCAAGCTACTATGAAGGAAGAAGAAAAAAAAAACAAGGTCCTACAAATTGATAGGATACCAACTGATATGTTTCTACAAACAGATACTGCTCTGGACATGCTCACCAGGTGTGGCAAGAAATCTGGAGGACAAACTACCTGACCAAATTCCTGGAAAACGATCTAAATTTATTCTCATTCAAAAAAGTTATCCAACAGAGTGTGGGAATTATTGAACAATATCACTAATATCACACACAAGTAAATCCTGCTGGAAATTATCTAAAAATGAGTGGAACAGTACAGTGACAGAGAACTCCCAGAAACATATGCAGGGTTTAGAAGAGGTTATAGCACTAGAAATATTATTGCCAATGTCAGATGGATCTTGGCAGAAAACAAAGAGTACCAGAGAAATGTCTGTGTTTCATTAACTATGTAAAGGCATTTGATTGTTTAGATCCCAATTGATTGTGGCTAACTTTAAAGAGAATGGGAATTCTAGAAAACTTGATTATAGTTATGCAAAACCTATACTTAGACCAGGAAGTAGTCCTCAGAATAAAACAAGGAAACAGTGCATGCTTCAAAATCAAGAAAGGAGTGCATGAGTGATGTGTCTTGCCTCCAGAAATTTTCAATCTATGCAGAATGGATAATTCAAGAAACTAGGCTTTAAGAGGAAGAATGTGGCACCAGGATTAGAGGAAGACTCTGGAACAACCTATGTTATACAGATGAAACAACCTTCCTTGCTGAAACTGAAGAAAACCTGAAGCACTTGCTGCAGAAGGTCAAGGACTATAATCTTCAATATGGATTGAAGTTCAACATCAAGAAGATAAAGATTCTCACCACTGGCCCAATTGGCAACACCATGATAGATGGACAAAACATTAAAACTTTGGAGAATTTCATCTTACTTGGATCCATAATCAGCATACTTAGTACTAGCAGTCAAGAAGTCAGGAGACGTATTGCACCGAGAAAGTCTGCAGTCAGAGACCTCTCCAAATTATTGAGGAGTTTGAGATTTAAGGTGTATCTGATTCAGGCCATAGTCTTTCTGATTGCTTGCTATGCATCTGAGAACTGGATAATTAATAAAGATTACAGAAGAAGAATAGATATTGTTGCGCCGTGTTGTTGAAGAAGCATGCTGAACATCACATGGGCTACCTAATGAAACAACAAATATGTCTTGGAGAAGGTGACACCAGATCACTCACTCGTTGGAGGCAAAGATGATAAAGCTTAACCTCACATATTTTAGGCATATAACTAGGAGAGTCTGTTCTTTGGAGAGAGACATGATGCTCAATAAAGCAGAAAGTCGACAAAGGAAAGTAAGACCCTCAACCAGATGTATTGACATAGTAATTGCCACAACAGACTCTCAAGTTTCAGAAAGTTTATGGAAGACATAAAATAAGACCTGGTTCAGATTTGTTGTTCATAGGGTTGCTATTGATCACACTGAACTAGAAGACCTGAGAAGAAGAGCAACAAGTGAAGCTGCACTGTATTTTTTGTTAACCTAAGACTGTGCCAAGCACAGAATAACTATTCAGAAGATATTCTTAAAACAATGAAATATTTTTGTTAATTGTTTACTTTACTTTTTATAATGATAGTCTCACAGTGTGGTGAAGATTATAGCACTTCAACTGTAATGTAATTTGAATGCTAAATAATTAAATGCCTGTGAGTTACCCTGAGTATCCAATGACCTACGGCAAGATTTTAGAAATATTGATGCTATTCTGATGGCCTAGTGATAAGGAGTTGTGCTGCCAAGCCAAAGGCTGACTGTTTGTATACACCAGCTGCTCCACAAGAGAAAGATAGGCAATCTTCTGCTGAGCCATTTATTGTCCCTGAAAACTCACTGTAGGATCAACAATCGGTCAGTTCTGACTCAAAGGTACCAAACAACAACAACAAAATTAATATAATCAGAGTGCAGGTAAGGAACTTTGCTCTCAACTCAAAGACAGGTGGTTTGGCTCCACTAGGAACTCTATAGGAGAGAGATGGAAAATCCTGTCTGATGCAATATTATAAATTCTGAGAACCCACTGGAAGGTCACCAGGTGTCAGTTCCAGCTCAAATTACATGATAATAAAATTAACAAAAAATATTAATTATTTCAAATATAAGTATATATATTTTGAGAAGAATCTCAGATGCAATCCCAAAGTCACCTGGTTTGAATCCACTCCTGCCATGCAATATACTGCCTCTGAAACCCTCTGGAGGGCTAGCTATGGGTCGCTTTCAACTTAATGGCACACAAAAACAACGTATGAGAAAAAAATCTAGGAGTGATATAAAGGAAATCCTTGTGGCATAGTAAAGCACTAGACTGCTCTCCAAGAGGTGACTAGTCATACTTACCAGCTGTTTGATATAAGATGTGGCAGTCTGCTACAATAAACATTTATAGCCTTGGAAAACCTATGAGACCACTCTACTGTGTTCCATGGAGTCACTATAAGGGCAGCGTTTTGTTTTGTGTGAATGGTGCAAGCAGTTTATACCTTGATCTTCAAACTAACATCTTTGCTTATTAACATCTGTAAAATTATAGCCTACAGAGTGTAGTTATACTCTTTTAACACACGGAAATGTCATGTATTATAGTCCACTTGATGGTAGTTAGCAACAATAGCAATAAACAAAGAAAAAAAAGGGGTTCTAATTATATTACTCCCTCTTTATGAAATTGTTTTATTCATTATTGTCGAAAGGGCTTACATCTATTGGCAACTTTCAGATAATATCCTTAGTTAATTACATTGAAAAACTGGTAGTAAATTTGTTACCAGGTCTGTTTGACTCTATTTTTCCTAACACATGGCCCATATTTGATTAGTTGGGCCATGATTATTGTTGCTGTTAAGTGTCATTGAGCTTTTCTTAGTTTTATTGTGACTGCTTTCCAACCAGAGGGTCTCATATTCTGCACTTATGACAGATAATCATCCCCTGATGTTTATAGGGTCTTCAAGGCCTGTGTTTTTTAAGACTAATTCATGTGTGTCTTGAGTTGGTAGCTCCCATGAGACTTTTCTACCATGACTGACCCTGCTACTCATTTAAACAAACAGGGACATAGCTTCTATCAACTCAACAACAAAGCAAAATAATACACACTGACAGATAAGTGAACATGACTCATTCTGGCCAACATTGTGATATAAATTAAATAATTTAAAGGGGTGTGTATTTAGTCATCTGAAAATAAAGACTAGAACTTTTACGAATGTACCTTGAAAAAGTTGCATGTATGAAACAAAATAAATCTACTTATATCACTAAGACTTCACATAAGCCAAATCCTGCTGAAAATTATCCAAACACAACTAGAGCAATAGTATATTAACAGAAAAACACTAGAATTGAAAGCTGGGTATAGAAGAGGCTGTGGCACAAGGGACATCATTGCCAATATCAGACGGATCTTGGCTGAAAGCAGAGAGTACCAGAGAGGTCTATCTGTGTTTCATTGACTATGCAATGGCATTTGACTATATGGATCACAACAAATTGTGGCTAATGTTGAGAAGAATGGGAATCCCAGAACACTTGACTGTGCTTAGCAAAACCTATACTTAGACCAGGAGGCAGTTGTCAGGAAAGAGTAAGGAGACACTGCATGGTTCAAAATTATAAAAGGAATGTGTCAGGGGTACTTCCTGTCTCCACACCTTTTCAGTCTGGATACAGAACAGATTATTCAAGAAGCTGAAATTTATGAGGAGCAGTATGGCATCAGAATTGGAGGAAGACTCACCAATAACCTGAGTTATGAAGATGACACAACTTATTTGCTGAAACTGAGTAGAGCCTGAAGCATTCGCTGCAGAGCATCAAAGACTATAGTCTGTTATATGGGTTGAAGCTGCTGAACATTAGAATACAAATATTTTTACCACTGGGCTAATGGGTAGCATCATGATAGATGGAGAAGAGACTGAGATTTTTAACATTATCAGTTTGCTTGGTTCCAAAATCAACACTCTTCACACAAGCGGTCAGGAATTCAAAAGACGAATTGCACTGGGAAAATCTGTCTCTCTAGAGGCTGAAGAGCACTGATGTTAGTCTAGAGACTAAATTTTGCCTGATACAGGCCATAATCTTCACAATTACTTGCTATGCATCAAAGACCTGGACAATGAACAAAGATGACAGAAGAAGAATAAATGACTTCGAGTTATGGTGCTGGAAAAGAGTATTTAACATACCGTGGCCTACCAAGAAAATCAACAGGTCTGTCCTTGAGAGTGTGAAATCAAGCTACTCTTTGGAGGCAAAAATTTTGAGACTCCATCTCATATACTTTGGGTATGTAGACAAGAACAATCAGTATTTGGAGAAGGCAACATGCTTGGAAGGGTGGAGGAACAGCACAGAGGAGGAAGACCCTGAATAAGATGAATTGACACAATAACTAGGGCAATGAGGGTAGGTGTGTCAGAGATAGGGAAATTGACTCAAGATAAAACAAGGTTCAGACCTATTGTGCATAGGGTCGCTATAAGTCATAGTCACTATGAATGAGGTATATCATAGTGAGGTGTAGCCTCACTTCTACTGAAATGAATCTGTTTTGAATAATGGTGGCCTAGTGGTAAGAATTTGAACTGCAGTACCAACGGTGCACAGTTCAAATCCACCAGCTACTCCACAGAAGGATGGGTAATCTCCTGTGTGATTACTGAATCTGAAACCTCAGCTATGGATTGGTTCCAACTCAATGGCACACAACAACAACAACAACAACAACATCACATACTATGAGGTATTCTCATAGAAGGAAAATGTTTTGAGAATATGTATTTATCTATTCAAATAGTCTATATGATTTGTTTTACAAGTTTTTTCCTCTTATATAATAGAGCTTTTCTATTAGAAGGGTTTTCTTACTAGTGTATAATTTATAGACCTTTAATTTTTTTATTATTACAAAATTAACATCTTTATAAAACAGAAATAATACATAGGTTTTATACATTTAAACCAGAAATTATTTTAAGTTTCATTATACAAATGAAAGTTTAGTAACTTAAAATAAGCAAATGAATGATTCAGTTGGAATGCCATTAATGCTATAAAAATATTGAGAATAATAGTGGAGAGCTTAAAAAACCCTGTTGTTGTTGTTGTTGTTGTTGTTGTTGTTGTTGTTATGTGCTGTCAAGTCACCTGTGACTCATTCTGACCTGGCTCTAAAGTCTGCGCTGTCCTGAGCCACTCACTGATTGTGACACAACAAGGTCCATTATTTCACTCATAAGTGTATCAATTCATCTCATCTAGGGTATTCTTCTCTTGCTCTGTCACTCCACCTTTCTGAGCATGATGTCCTGCTCCAAGTACTAACCTTACAAAACAAACAAACAGACAGACACCCAACCCCAAAAACAAAAGCCCAAATCACAACCAAAAACCTAGAAGAGATTAATTATATCTCTAAGTAAGTTAAAACATATATTATTTAGCTAAGTTAATGCTTGCTGAGATCTCTAACACTGATGTTCTGTTTAGGTTATAACCCTGGCCAGTGGGAATGTTCCTCACCACACAATCCACACACAGCCAGTGGGAAAGCAATTTGATAGAGTGGATGATTTTTTTATTCCCACTACAACGCTCATCATTACTCACATAAGGTAAGGGTTAAGAAGTATAAATGATACTTGAAACTGTTGCTTATTTTATTGAATAACTTCATGAAGTCGTGAAAGTATTATTTTGCTTATAAAAGAAATACATACTTTGAGGTATATCGAACTTGGCTGTGTCTAAGTCTCTTGCTGAACTTTTGTCACCCTGCTGTTTTCTTTGTAGTTGATGTCCTATCACTTTTTTTTTCATATGCCCAATGTCATAAAAAATTTCTAAAGTTCCAGTAGTGTTTATTATTGGCTTAAGAGTTTGTATTTTGTGTGTGTGTTGTCATGGGAATTGTTTATGTGAATATTTTTAAGTATTTATGTTTCATAAAAATGTCTTAGAATAACATTTTCTTTACAATCTCATGATTTAGACTTACAAAAATAGTCTCCATATTATTATTAATACATAAATCAACTTTTACCTGTATTAATATGAATATGAAACATTATTAAGAAATTTAGTAAATAAAAACTAATGCTTGGAATTTGTATTTTGTTTGTGTGAGAAGAAATAATGGTATTTCCAGTTTTTCCATATGTTTACAAAGGTGACAAGTTAATATTACATTCATAGAAAGTGTTTTATTACTTTTAATTGTGATTTGAGTGAATATTTGCAAAGCATATTGGTTTTATATTATCTTAGGTATATACATGTGCTTCATTAATTTTGATTGTAGTACTCAAAATGTCAGGTCATCTCCTTATTATATATTGCATTTCCTTTCATCTATGTAATAAATATCTAGCTATTTCCCCCCTCTTCTCTCCCTCTTTGCCGTCTGTGGTATCAAGAATCTTTTTGTAAGCCTTACTTTTCCTGTGCAAACCTTATTTTAGCTTTTTATAATAAATACCTGATGAAATATTTGTCCTTTTGTGTGGGAATTACTTCACTCTGCGTTATGTTTATTAGGTTTATCCATATTATATAGAAAAGCACTAAAATACTCAAACATTGAAAAAATGCTCAGGAAAACAGAAAATTGTATCACTTATGTTGAGAAGAGGAAAAACATAAAATGTTTATACTTATCATATTAGGAAATGTTGTCATAATTATAAAGAATATATATTATTTTGTAATATCCAGTAGTTTTACAAGTTACCAACAAATTATTGCCAACCAATAAATACATAAGCATTGCATTTTATTTATTCCATTCCCATACACCCTATTACTTTTTTACTGTGTGAATATTCTGTTTATTTATTATTTTTTAAAAATATAATAGCCTTTCTTTAAAAAAATATCACTTTCCCTGGAGGACATTGTGCTGAGTGAGGTATCTCAGTCACAAAGGGACAAATGCTATATGTTGCCACTGTTGTAGAATGAGGCTGGCATTGGGATGGGGGTAAGACTGAGAAAAACTGGATGAAATATGTTTACGGCATTGAAGTCTATGGGGTAGACAATAGTCTAAAAGTATTATATTTTAGGGCATTATTTTTATCGTAGGAGTATGCAATGAGGGTTGCAGAGTGGATTATATTTGGGGGTAGGGGGTGGGATTTGGGGAGGTCGGGGGGGATTGTGTACCAATGAGGGAGTTTTTCTTTTGCTTTTCAAGGAGAGGAGCAAACGGGGGGGGCGGGGTTTCAACGGGGAGAAGGGTGCAACAATGAATGAATGGAATTCCAAAATCTCTGTAGATGTTCATTGAAATGAAAAATAAACAACCTAAATAAAAAAAAAAAAATCACTTTCTAGGACACTCTTATTGCCTGGGCAGCACAATTGAATAAATCCTGTTAACAACAGAAAACTTGACAGTTCAATGACTCTTAAAAGTGGAACCTGAAGACAGGCTAGCAATCTACATTAAAAAGGCTATGAACCCTAGTGATTCTATATTTAAATATTTTTCTGCTAAATGAAAGGCAGATGTATAAACCAAGAATCCTCTCACCTGAAAATGGATTTGCCAGTTGGCTTCCATTAAAATGCATGGCCTAACATCAAGATTATTGGAAGACTCATCAACAATCTATATTATGTAAATGACACAATCCTGTTTGCTGAAGCTGAGGAGGACCTGAAGTGCTTGCTGTAGAAGATCAAGGACATTTCGCTCCCTTAGACCAGCTGGTATATTCAAACTCTTTGCTTTTGGGATGGTAGTACAGGCTCTTACCACTATTGTTGTTGTTATGTACCATGGAGTCACTTGCAACTAATAGCAACCATTTGTTCAACAGCTCTAAAATTTTGATTCAGTTTACTGTCTCCATAACACCTATCCCCAATGGCACTAATAACTGAGTCAATCTATCTCATCCAGGGTCTTCCTCTCTTGTGCTGTCCCTCCACCTTTCTAAACATGATGTCCCTCTCCAAGGACTGGTCCATCATGACCACACACCAAAATTATATGAAATGGAGCTCAAAATCCTTGTCTCCAAGGAGCCGCTTGGATTCACCTTCTCCATGATAGGCTTATTTCTCTTAGCATTCCATGGTTATGTTCAAGACTCTTCTCTAGCACCACCACTCAAAGGCATCAATTCTTCATCTTTAGTCATTGTTCAGCTCTCTAATTCATAGCAAGGAACTGTAAAGACCATGACTTGGATCAGTTACACCTTAGTCTCTAGACATACATTACTGCTCTTTTGTACTCAAGAGAGTTCCTGAAAGCAGATTTTCCTAATGCAATTTGTCTTTTGCTTTCCTGAGTACTGGTACAAAGAGTATTAACCGTGGAACAAAGCAAGCTGACACTATTAAATATGTCAGGCTCTTCTTCTCTGTCTATCATGATGCTGCCAGTTGTTCCAGTGGTGACAATCTTGTTTTCTTGATGTTGAGCATCAATCCATATTGAAGGCTTCAATCTTAGACCTTCTATAGCATATGCATCAAGTCCTCCTTAGTTTTAGTTAGCAAGGTGTGTCATCTTCTTAATACAGATTGTTAATGAGACTTTCTCCAGTCCTCATGTCAAATTCCTCCTCATATAATTCAGCCTCCCAGATGACATGTTCCACATATAGATTGAAAAGGTATGGAGATAGGATGCATCCTTGGTGCACGTTTCTGATCTTGAACCATGCAGTATTTCCTTGCTCTATTCTTATGTTTTCCTACTGGTCTAACTATAGGTTTTGCATAAGCACAATCAAATGATTCACATTCTTCTCAAGGTCAGCCACAATTTGTTGTGATCTACACAATCAAACGCCTTTGCATAGTCAATTAAACATATGTAGACATTCCTCGGATACTCTACTTTCAACTAAGATCTGTCTAACATCAATTATAATTTCCCTAGCGTCATGGCCTTTTCCAAACCCAGCTTATATTTCTGATAATTCTCTACTACTCCAGTCATTTCTGAATATCTTCAGCAGGATGTTGTTTGCTTGTGATATCAATGATATTGTTCAATAATTTCCACACTCTGTTATATCATCTTTTTTTTTTTTGAATGAGAATAAATATGGATCTCCTCTAGTCAGTTGACCCGGTACTTGTTCTCCAGACTTCTTGGAACAACCTGGTGAGCATATTTAAGGCAGCGGTTTTTTTTCCAAATATGTGATTTGGTATCTCATCAATTCTTGGGTCCTTGCTTTTTTGCCAATTTCTTCATAGCAGCTTGAACTTCCTCCTTCATCAATCATTGCTTTCTGATCATATATTGTTTCATGAAATTCTTCTGTTTTAGCCAATTCTTCTTGGTATAGTGAGTCTGTGTACTCCTTCTGTCTTCTTTTGATGCTTCCTGAGTCATTAAACATAATATCCTTCCATATTATCAAGCATTGCAATGCGAGGCTTGAATTTATTTCCTTCTTAAGCTTAAGTACTTAGAGAGTTTGTCCCTTTTGATTTTCTGACTCCAATTCTTTGCACATTTCATTATAATACTTGGCTTTGTCTTCCTGTGCTGCTCTTTGAAATCTTTTCTTAAGTACTTTACCTCTAGGCCACCACAAATTGTATGGCTTTAACAAACAGAAATTGATACTAACATACTCAAAAAGAAACATTGCCCTATCCTTCTCTGTCCCAGCAATAAATATTAAGATCCTTTTAAAAACTCAAAACGTTAGTCTTTTATTTTGTTTGACTCACTGTCACTGAATACTTTCTTCTGATTCATTGTAACCTCCATAATTTTCCTAAGGCTGTAATTCTTTATGGGAGAAGTCACATATTTCTCCTGAAGAGAATATTTTGGATTCAAAACAGCAGAGGCACTCAGTCTTCTGATTAATACACTGTGAACTGTAGACTGTGTCACCAGAGCCTTGGGAATGCAGTAGAATGGAACTACTGGATAATGATTCTACTCTCTAATTGGGTCATTGTTAGTTAAAAGTGACTTGATAACAATGAGTTCTATATTATCTTAAACATTCAAATTTCTGGTAACTACCATTTTCAAAATACTTCAAACTGATGCAACCCACTTTTTTTCTTATTTGAAATTTTTCCCATTTCCTGAGAAATATCACCAATGCTTTGCATAAATATTGTCATTTTATCCTAAAAAAGAAGTGGAATTAGTGGAAATGTATCTTTGCATGTGAGAATTCTGACAATCAAGTGAAATTTACATATGCTAGGGACAAATTAAACCATATAGTTACGCACTAAGACTATCAAAATAAGTTTCTTAAAATTACTGGGTTCCATTTGTTAGGCCTTGGTCGTACCTGCTTCCTTCATCTTTCTAGCAAATTAATCTTTTCCCAGGTGACAATGAAGAAAGATGAAGGTTAGACCAAAACTATTCTTTAAGAAATGCGTTTAAATGTGTATACTATTGATGTATAGCAAAATTATTGGAAGGTAAAAACAATGTCTTTTATCAGTGCTCCCCTGTTAAAATCCTCCTCAGGAAACTTGACTCAAGTCCTAGACCTCATCTTCCCCATCCAGAGAAAAAGTAAACAGAGCAATGTTAGGGAGAGTTATGCCTTCCCAACCTGGCACACATGAGTATTTCTTAAATTCCGCAAGAATGAAGAAATCATGAAATCGG